ATGAAAATGAATTAATGTTTGGAAATCAAGTGATCTAATGTGGTGGTAAACTTGATTCATAGTTTAATGTAATTTTAAGAGTTATGAAGATCTTTGGACTTAAATTTTTATATAAATCATGCTGTCTGTTCTTTAGAGCAAAACTGGTATTTTGGACTTTTTCCAAAGCACACGCAAACAGAGTCTTCCTGTGGTTAGTTCCCAGTGGCTTCACCCCATGTGCTACCTTTCCTAGTGCTTCTTTTACCCACAGAACTGAATTTTGGAATTAGTTTCTTCATATAATTTGGAGGAATTCCTTGAAAATTTCTAATCATAATTCATTGAAATTTTCTTTTTTTTGCATTTCAATAGTTTTATTGAAAAGTACCAAACAACGGTTGGACAGGTTGTATCTGCCAACTCAAGGTTAACACTGATGTTTTCAAAATGTTGAAATGTATCAGCCCTTTGGGGAAACCAAAAGGTCACCCATAAAGCATAGTCTACAAAAGTTAAGGATAACATACATTGTGGGTGTGGGTCTTTGGTTTGTTTCTTCAGCACTGGTCAGAATTGCTAATGGCCATTCAGGAGGGACTATGGCTACTTGTACTGTCCACATCTTGTACTTGTACTTCCTACATCTTAGATCCACCGGCTGACCAGAGCAACCCTCGCTACTACTACCTCTGCTATCTTGTAATTATGCTGGTGCCGACCATGCATAAGACACAGAGGTGTTTGTGAAAGTAGTCTTTCTTTAAAAACAAAATTCTGCATGAGAAGCAATTGCAGTAATAACTGGAATGGGTTATCTAGCTTACTTACTTACCAGCTTATTCAGCTTACTTTAGTGGAGGCAAAGCAAGTTATCAGAGTGACAATTTAGTTTTGAGTTTCTAACAACCGACACTAGTTTCTTCAGTGGAACTAGAATAAGGCAGTAGATTATAAAAATTCACCATGGATGCAAACATCACCTGTTTCTAGGAGAAATATTAAAGATATCAAACTTGCAAGGTCTTTTATTTTTTGCTTTATATAAAATACCTGCAAATTCAAATTAATTTCTTATGTAGTAGTAATATCCTCTTCGAATTAACTGCTACCTGCGTTGTGAGTTCAAGAAGCCATTTGCTGTCTAGAGTATTAACTCTGATGCCTTAAAGTGCATTTGTGAAATGTTGGTTTTCATGTAAACTTCATAATTTAAAATATAATGTTTAAATTAAGAAGTTTACCATTGTCAATACCACTTAAAAACAATAGCTCCAATATGGAAAGTTAGATCAAAGTTAGAAATAAAGATTCACAGTTTACCTTCCTAGGTTTGTTATTAATATTTCACCTTGGTGCCTTTAGCTTTGACTTGACTGCTTTACAGATGAATTCAAGTCTTAACACAGTTCTACTAAGCATTAACTAGCCAGTTTGCCCAGATCTGAGGTTATATAGTGCTAACCTAGTGGTGGTGTTTTCATGTATCATAGCTTAACATCCATTACAACATGGAATACTTAGGGTCGTGGAGAAAGATTCCAGAGCGCTTTGTTTTCTTGCTTCAGTAACAGAAATTTAAGTCAACAAAAATCCCAGTTGCATAGAAGTCTTCTTCTAAGATTCATAATTATATGTATATTAAATAATACTGAGTTTGCCTGCAGAAAGATGATTTACTGAGTTATGAAATTTAGAGGGCAAATATGTAGAGAACATAGCCAACTCTACATTTTTATTTTTTATTTTGTCGGTCGTGGGGCTTGAACTCTGGGCCTGGGTGCTGTCCCTGTGCTCTTCAGCTCAAGGCAAGCGCTCTACCTCTTAAGCCACAGCGCCACTTCTGGTTTTCTGGTGGTTATTGGAGATAAGTCTCAGAGATTTTTCCTGCCAGGGCTGGCTTTGAACCAAATTCATTGAAATTTTCTAATCTACTACTAGTCATTTTACCTGGAACATCCACTTGCTTAGACTATTTCATCACCACCATTAACGTAAGAGACTACAGTTTTGAAAAGACTTCCAGGTGCTGGTTGATCATTTCCCCACGTTTTAGAAATCTCCAGTGCTTAGACTTCTTGCACTCTGTCAGCAGTTTATGTTTTGCAGAACAGCGTTTTATAGTTGAGAAATTCTGTCCTCCCATAATTTTCATCTTACAATTTTCAAATACATATGCATACACATAGATACACACATGTACACTGCATACAAACACAGCAAACTAACTGGTAATTTCCTGAAATTCTTTATAAGTATATGTGTGTGTGTGTGTGTGTGTGTGTGTGTGTGTGTGTGTGTGTGTGTATGTGTGTATAAAAAGTAAATTTAAATTGAATCGCTAGGGTCATCTTTCCTCCAAGCAAATAGTTCAACTTAATCCAATAATTCAATAGATGCTAGTTTATCTTAATTTAAAAGGTAAACTTAGCCAGGCTCTAATGGCTTACCCTTGAAATCATAGCTACTCAGGAGGTTTAGATCGTAGGATCGTGGTTCAAAGTCAGGTTTGGCTGGAAAGTCTGTGAGACTCTGATCTCAAATTAACAACGCAAAAAAAAGCAGGAAATGAGTGGGGCTGTGGGTCAAGTGGCAGAGCACTAGCTTTGAGCACAAAAAGCTCAGAGACAGCTCCCAGGCCCTGAGTTCATACCCCTTGACCAGCACCAAAAACAAAAGCAAAATTGTCACCAATTGGGTTATTCAGTGTTTCTAAACTAAGATACCAGGAACTTTGGTTTGTACTTCCACTGTTAGCCAATTGTTCTTACTGCATGATTTTCACCTTCTACATTGACGATGCTAGGAGAAAAAAAAGGGGGGGATTAAATGTTAACAAATTGTGGGACCTTTGCTTATCATTTATCTTCTCTCGGACAGGGTTTTCTTTTCAACAAAATTGGGATTAAATGGCTATCTGGTGGTGTTACTGAAATATTAGCTGAAATATAAGTAACCGTTTGGCATAGTGAAACATATTTGCTAATATTTTTCTTTCTGTTATTTCTCTTGGGTAATACCAGTTCTGTCCATGAAAACATTTGCAGACTACTGCAGGAACATATAGCCACAGCTTCATGCACTTCCTAAATAGTTAGGATTATAACTGGTTGACTCATTTAGAACAATGGCTCACACAGAACTGTGAACATATGTCCACAATCTGACTCGATAACATTCAACTATGCAGTTAAAAGATGAAAGATTAGTAGAATTGAAAAAAAGATATTATACTGGGACTTCTATGTCTTCAAATTGTTTTCTGTTTTTTTTTTGGGGGGGGGATCTGGTCATGGGGCCTGAACTCTGGGCCTGAGCGCTGTCCCTCAGCTCTTCAGCTCAAGGCTAGTGCTCTACCACTTGAGCCACAGGCCACTTCTGGCTTTTTCTTTTTTGCTTATGTGGTGCTGAGGAATCGAACCCAGGGCCTCATGCATGCAAGGACATGCGCTCTACCACTGAGCCACCTTCCCAGCCCCTTCAAATTGTTTTCTGTATGTGGAGTGACACTCCCTTGTATCAGTACTCTGAGGAACATTAAGTTATTGACATAGATCTTAGTCCTCCATTTTTCCTTCCTTACCCATAGTTATCCAGTGTTTGGCATGACATGTTACAACAAGGACACAAAGAATCTCAGCACTACCATGGCAGAGAAAAGTATTTCTTGGCTGATTTCACCCTTATATACCAAGGTCAATAACACAGACACAGAAGAATTTACTGATTTTAGTAGTTAAGCACAATTTTAATAGCATTTCCTAAGAATTATCGCTCAGATCACCTTTCCTTCCAAATTGATTCATACATAGTGCCTGCAAGTATTGACATTTTATACACATAGTATTTCAAAAGCAGAAGAATTAAGAAAAGTATTTGTAGCCTTGAGATGAAAAACACTGCTTTAATTATTCTCTCAATACCTGTTACCAAATGCAAAATACTAAATGCTAAAATAGCCATGCTCGGGGCTGGGAAGTTGGCTCAGTGGTAGAGCGCTTGCCTTGCATGCATGAGGCCCTGGGTTCGATTCCTCAGCACCACATAAGCAAAAAAGAAAAAGCCAGAAGTGGCTGTGGCTCAAGTGGTAGAGCACTAGCCTTGAGCTGAAGAGCTGAGGGACAGCGCCCAGGCCCAGAGTTCAGGCCCCACGACCAGACCCCCCCCCCCCAAAATAGCCATGCTCACAGGTGCCAGCTGATAGCTGAGTGGCTGGGGTTTGAGGTTTGGGGTTTGGGGGAACACTAAAGAAAGAAGTTCTCAAAATGGCATTTTTAATCTTATAACCAAAGTAACACAGGGAAGAGCTCTCCATTTTGGTAACTAATTTGTGTCAAACATAGAGAACTCTGGAGAAACATTCTCAGAAAAACAGATGGAGCAGGTTTTACTCATGTGCCTAAGTTAGAAAGGGCTAAATCTCATTATTTGTTTATTATCCACTTACTTTCTTTTTTTGAGGGTACTAGGGTTTGAACACAGAGCTTTTATCTTTCAAAGCAAATGTTCTACTATTTAAGCTACTTATCCTGACCTTTTTGCTTTAGTTGTTCCTCAGATAGGGTCTTAAACTTTTGCTCAGGGCCTACCATGATCTGAGCTAGGTTTATAGAAAGGAACAACCATGCCTAGCTCTGCTCAAATTTCTTTGAACTTGAATCTGTTTCAAGGTCATAGTTTGGTAAAAAGGATTGAAAGTAAATACACAGCACCTGGTCATAGTTATAACACAATAGATGTTGAATGAATAAATGAATGAATACCTGGCGTGCAATATAAAGAGGCCAAACCTCTTTCTCCAAGCATTAACCTTCCTGCACATTTCTGAGATGCACTTCTGTGTGCACCCAAATAATAAGGCCTTATTTGTCAGAACCAGCTATCACTGGCTTAAGGATAGTAGGAGACCAAAAAACCATAAGGGCCAACTGAGTTCTTAATTCATCCTAGTACCACGAAAATGCCAAGCCAGCTTCACAATTTGTGATCAGAATTTCAAGGTTGAATACCATCCATAATCAAAATAAAATGAAATTTCCATGCCTTCTTTGATTAGAAGCAGTACATACAAATTGAGAAATCTGGGATTGGAAGTGACCAATTTGAGACCTGCTCTCCCCTTCTCCCCCTGCTTTCTCTTCTCTATTTTGCTTTCTCTCATTCTCCTTTCCCTCACTTTTCTTCCCTTTCCCCTCACAAGTCTTCTGATCTTACCAAGGCTGAATATTTCTAAGTACCTGTGGATAGGGCAAATAAAGTGGTAGTGATTTAGTCATGTTCTGTTGATATCCAGAACATTATTTTGGGTGTGAGTTTAATATCTACATGCTTATCTGGGGAGGTTCATCTAGGATATATATTTCAGGAAAGTAATGATGAGGATGAGGGCAATGATGATAAAATCAAACCATCAGCCATACATACACAAACCACTTGTGTTGATATCTAAGTTAAACTAGAGATGGACTCTCAGCCTGATGTAGATCATCAGATACATATTTGTTAAGATTCTTAAATATAAAACTTTCAAGGGCCGGCAGGATACCATTTCTAGCAGCACACAAGTGTGCTCTTCTTTCATAGCTCAGAGAATAGGATTAGAAGAGCCAGTGTTAAGGGAGGAGGTCCTTCCTCTGCTTTCATCCTTCATTCTCCATCCCTCATGTAAAAATGTGAGGAGCCTTCCTGGCTTTCATATTGATTAATATTCTAAACATTTTCTGTACTTCTGATGAAGTCACCATCCTTTGGTCTCCATGCATAGCAGACATTATTACTTTAGGAAATTCTCACTAAGGCTTTAAATTAACTCTGTTCTAGAATTGTATAGTTCTACATGTCATTCTTCATTAATTCATTCATTCAACAAACTCCTTCAGTAGCCACTCTGCCAAGCACCATGGTAAATGCTGAGTACTACAGTAACTCCAATAAGTCTAGTATTCTTTGGTAGATATTTTCTCTAACTCAGTTAGGCCCACTATATGGGTAAGCTAGAATATTGTGATATGTGAATATTGTCACTAGCAGGTATTAAGGTCACCTTCAGCACATATTATCTCCTGTCTGAAAAAAAAATCTTCAAAAAGCCAATAACAAGAACAAAGATAACATCAAATGGGAAATGATAAAATCCTCTTTTGGGGTGTTAGGATTCTAAAAACAAATTTAAGGTAGCCTGGTGTTGTGGACAGATTACCAAACCTGGAGTCAAGTAACCTAAATCTAATCTTGGCTTCATAATCTTAAGGAAGCCACAGAACGTTTGGAACACCCCCTTTTATTATCCTAAAAATGAATCCAGGATTCCTCGCCATATGGTCTTCTGGCAAAGGAGAGAGTTAAAATGAAATAATGTTTGTACAAGTGCTCTAAAAACTAAAAAGCATATACATGTAACTGATCACTAGCAGACAATCTTTGGCATCCCTTTCAATGCAACATTTATGTTTCCTTTCCTGCCTTTTTTTCTCCCTTAGGGGCAGGAACTTGTGTTAACAACCAGCATTATTTAGTAATTTGGCAGCACAACTTGTATTTATTTCCTTGTGGAAGAGACAAGTTAGAAGTTTTCCTTGTTGAAAATGAAATGTACTCCTCGAGAGCCAGACTCAGAGTTGGAGATGCTCTGTTTACTGAGTGTGTCAGCCAATGCTTCAGGTCCACAGAGGAAAACTCCTATTCTGGTACTTTGAGAAAGAAAGAAAAAAAAATTAGTTTCAGACTTTGGGATGTGCTAGTTAACAAAGTAGGTGGGAGGGGGTGGACTTATTGCTTAGAGGCTCCAGGGCCAAGTTCCCTCTGTTCCTTTGTTTTTTCCACAAATGGCCAAAGAGTTCAGATTACTCTGTAGAAGCGGGGCTTCCGTTCTGACTGTGAAGACATCTAGATAATTCAAAAGGCACTTAACTTCCTTGGAAAATGAAATGCAAACAAAATGTTTAGAAACTTCTACCACAAAGAAAATGGTGGTTAAATTTGTAGTCTGTGGACTACTTTCCTTTAGGGCTCTGTACCCCAAAACCTTCCTGCTCTCTTGAGATCAGGGATATCATCTTTCTTAGGCACCCTAACTCTGATGGCAGCTAGGTTTGCTTCCTTCCATTCCTCTCAATCTTACAGTTACAAACCTTGCTCTTCAATGTATGCTCCCATATTAGTAGCCTTGGCATTAGCTTTTTAAGAATGCAAATCCCCCCCCCCCGCAATGGGGCTGCGAATGTGGCTTAGTGGTAGAGTGCTTGCCTAGTATGCAAGAAGCTCTGCGTCCGATTCCTCAGTACCACATAAACAGAAAAGGCCAGAAGTGGTGTTATAGCTCAAATGTTAGAAAGCTAGTCTTGAGCAAAAGAAACTGAGGAACAGTGCCCAGGCCCTGAATTCAAGCCCAAGGACTGGTCAAAAAAAAATGCAGATCTCTGTGTCCCACTCTAGAACAAAAATCTGTATTTTAAACACAGATGAATGTTTAAAAGTAGGAATACAATATAAGTTATAAAAGGAAAGAGCCCAACTATGGCACTACTTGAGACAAATGACTGAGAAAGACTGAGAGAGGGAGCTGGGAAACTTTGATTTTTAAATAACTCTCCAGATGGTTTTAAAGATTGCTTCTTGAAGTCATTTTTTATTGGACATGAACTCAACCTCATGATAGTAATAAATGTATCTTAAGTTCTAGAATATAAAAGTCTAGTCATGTTTGAGAATTGCTGCTTAGGCAAACAATAAGCCTCAAGAACTTCCTGGTGGGGATTTCTTACTTAGGGTGTTGACCAGCAATTGTCTTGAACTCATTATCCCAGTTGGGCCGCCCATACAAAGTCTTCTGTTTCAGGCCTGTGATCACATCTTTCTCCTCATCATGATGTACAGCGAAGTGATTAGCCTGCAGCAAGAAGACATGAATTCAGAAAAAAGAGATATAATGTTAAAACATATGCAGATACAGTCACCCATTTCATAAACCAAGATTTTACTCGTGTGTGTGTGTATGTGTGTGTGTGTGTGTGTGTGTGTGTGTGTAAGGTACCATGCTGAAGACTAGAAGGTAAACAAAGACAAACCAACTGGGTCTCAAATCATTTACATTTTAGAAGAGAAGAAGAGAACGTGAGTATAAATTTAAACAAAACTGTAGAATGTGGTGTGGTGAATGCTATGGAACAGACTTAAACATCATAATGAGAACAGAGAAAAAGATGGAATGGCAGGATACGGGAAGGTTTAAGGCCATGGCATGTGAGTCAGGCATTAAAGTGTAGACACATCTCATTGTTTCTCTTTCTATGCTTGAATTTTTCTCCTCAGCTGAACTAATTTTCATTCTTTGGGAAAATCACTAATAATTGCAATAACAATAAACAAAATGCACTCAACAAGCTAGTAACCAGTAAGATATTAAATCAAACCTAAAGCTGTGTGTGTGTGCATATGTGTGCCTGCGCATGTGTGTGTACGTGTATGTACATACATACTGTTTTTCTGCTGCCATTCTAGAAGCTCTCACTTTGAACAGTTGGTACTTTTCATAAAATCGGTTAATTAAATGTATTTTTAAAATAAATTACATTCTAAATTCATTAAACCAAGGATAGATGATGGGGATAATTGATGGTAAGAAAAATGGTCACTCTGGCTTAATAATTCTTACAGGAACCAGTTTTATAAAGCAAAGTTATTATTTTCTCATTATTTTCCCATTTTACTAGCATTTTTTTGACATAATACCATAAGGCAGTTTATGAGTTATAGCTTTTTTCTTGGATTTCTTTTTTTGTTGTTGTTGTTGGTTGTGGGGCTTGAACTCTGGGCCTGAGCGCTGTCCCTCAGCTCTACCACTTGAGCTACAGCACCACTTCTGGTTTTATGGTGGTTTATTGGAGATAAGAGTTTCACTGACTTTCCTGCCCGGTCTGGCTTTGAACTGCAGTCCTCAGATCTCAGCATCCAGAGTAGCTAGGATTACAGACATGAGCCACTGGTGCCTGGCTTGGATTTCATTTCGTACAGTGTTTTTAATATTTTGTTTTCAAATTGTAGACATAGCAGCTATTAAGTTTTAGAGCAACAGTTCTCATAGTCAAAATGTCCTGGACCTATGACACCTGTTATAAGGGTCCTCTGTGGGCTGGGAAGGTGGCTCAGTGGTAGAGCGCTTGCCTTGCATGCATGAGGCCCTGGGTTTGATTCCTCAGCACCACATAAGCAAAAAAGCAAAAAGTCAGAAATGGTGCTGTGGCTCAAGTGGTAGAGCACTAGCCTTGAGCTGAAGAACTGAGGGACAGTGCCCAGGCCCAGAGTTCAGGCCCCATGACCAGACCCCCCCCAAAAAAGGGCCCTCTGTAACCTGTAGACTCTATGATAGGCTGGGAATGTGGCAGAGTTCTTGCCTTGCATGCATGAAGCCCTGGGTTCGATTCTTCAGTACCATATAAGCAAAAAAAAAGCCAGAAGTGGCACTGTGGCCCAAGTAGTAGAATGCTAGTCTTGAGCAAAAGAAGCTCAGGGATAGTGCCCAGGCCCTGAGTTCAAGCTCCAGAATGGTAAAAAAGACTCTCTGATAGACCACAATTCCAAAATCCAAATGAGAAAATAATCGCCACAATGACAGGTTGCAAGTGACAGATACCCAGGCTGAGAATAAGCAACATCTAGGTACAGCCTACTGCTGTAACTTGAATGGATCCTCCCCCAAAAGTGCAGATGTTGTAAGCGTGATAGTATATAGGTAGGGCCTTTAAGGGGTGATTAGGCCTTGGAGGCACTTTCTTCCTGATGGGGTTAAGGCCTTTAGCCTTAAAGCACAGTGTTTTTCAAATTTGTCAACTATAATGCATTTATATTGCCAAATGTCCCTGGTGGAGGCCAGGGAGGGAGGCAAAATCTTCAGTTTAGGACAGTCCCATTTTATTGTAGTGGTCTCCTAACATTTTTGAAAGAACACATTTATTTGATAGACACATACACAACATACTCATGCATACACATTAATACTACACACCCATATATCAGTGTGTGTACTTTACCTTTATTACACATACACACATGGGTCTGCTCAGTAGTAAACATGGATCTGCTCAGTAGTAATAATCACAACTACTGGGGAACACTCAGTGTAGACTCTGAACATTTGGACACTGCCATTTACTTGTTGGCTAGGTGTTCTTAGGCAAATGACCTAATTTATTCTAGACCTTGGTTTCATCATTATTGAAATGTGTCTAATAATAATAGTTACCTCATAAGGTTGTTGGCAACATAAAACTAAACAATCTATTAAACACTAAGAACAATACTGAGCACATTTTTTCAGAAATCTTGTGGTCTCTGTGAGGAATTAGTTTCTAGGATACTTCCCTCTCACATATCAAAATCCATAGATGATTTAGTTCCCTACAGAACCTGTGTATATCCTCATGTATACTTTAATTCATGTCTAGATCACTTATAAGACCTAAAGCAATATACATACTATTTTCTTAGTTGTAATGCTATATGACTTAGGAAACAATGACAAGAAAAACAGTAAACATACTCAATGTGGATGGAGTTTTTTTTCCAAATATGTTTGATCCATGGTCATTTGAATAAATATATGAAGAGCCATAGATATGGAAGGTGACTGTACATGCTTAATAAATGCAAATGTATTAAGTAGCTCATGAAATGTGCATAAATACTTAAAGGAACACATATACACATGTATGTGGATGTGAATAGATAGAGGATAGATAATATTTTCTCTGTTACCCATAATGCTCTTGTCCATCTTGTTTGAGAAGCCCGGGTGGGACAATTCCTCTAATGCCTTTATTCTCTCCTCATAGGCCCCTTGGCTTTGAATCTAGTCCCAAGAGCCCAAACATTATGTAGTGATACTGAGTTAGAATGAATGATCTGGATCACAAGACTCTATTAACTGTTCTTGAAATAAAGTCAGTATATAGGACATATCAACATCCAGTGGAAAGTCAGCAATCTCTAAGCCCTTGGGAAGGACCTAAGACCGGAACCCTGGCCCTCACCTGAGATTCATCCCAGCCTGTCAGGTAAATGTTGTAGCTGAGAAAGTCAGCATTGTTCCTTTCTTGCATCTGGGTTTCCAGAAGTTGGAGCAGATCTGCAAACCATTCAAAAGCATGTGTGTCCCGACACAACCAGTAGAAATAGATCTGAAAAAGAAATGGACCACAAAGCAGATTGGGATAGGCTTGATCAGCACAATCAGCACTAGAAAATTGATTTCCTCTCTTACACACTTCACCCTTCCAATGCTCAGAATGCCCAGAAACACGGGTTTTAAGAAAGCTCCTGACATTTCAAATAATATATACATATATATGTATATATACATAGTATATTATTATATATATCTTAAAAAATCTACTGGCCCACCAGCTTTCTTTCTTGGCCTTCTCTTTCTCTCTTGGAATCCCTAGCTGTTTTACACCACATCCCAGATTGGCCAGAGGAATCCAGACTAACAGTGACTACTGAAGGATTTCTTTGCTGCCTGCTAATCCTAGACATTGATGAGTTCTCAGGGAAAAAATACTTTTATCCATATTTCTCCCACACAGAAAAGAAGCTAAAGGAGAGAATTTAAAACATTAAATCTGGGAGAGGGGAAGCAATGAGGGGGAGTACATGAGGGCAGAAAGGTAAGCAAATGTGGTCATTATATTCAATGTACACTATGGAAAAACTGAACCATGTAACTTAAGGGTGGGATGAGATGGGGAAATGTAGGGGAGAATGATGGAAGGGGTGACATTGATCAAGACGCAGTATACTCATAATCTGACTCCTAGAATTGAGACCCCTTTATACAACTACTTAATAAAAATAAACATTTTAAAAAACTTTTAAGTCATAATTACCTTTTAAAACTTTACATTTAATCAGCTATTCATATTTATTTAAATTGTACTTATTAATGCAAATGAAACAATATAAAATGTAAAAAATCCTTCATGTCTCATCTTCAATGTTGCTAACTAAAGAAAAATCATGAGAAAAAACTTTAAAATTCAAGTTTTAATGTTCGTATTAGAATTTAGTTTAACAGTTACTAGAATGACTGAAGGTTTATGGAAGATATCCTTAATAAGGTAATTGCATGTAATAATCTCCTGAGAATTTATCTTAAGGAGACTTCCATAAGATGTTGTTTCTGCCCTTTCCTTACAAAAATATATTGAAGACCTGAAAATTGAATAAATAGCAATATATAAAGAAAAATTATTCTATTGTAGCAATAGAATATGAAGGAATCATTTCAGATGATCATTATGATGCCTATGATGACACTGAAAATGTTTTCTATCTTTTTTTTTAAAAAAAGGATCAAGGCTGGGGATGTAGCCCAGTGATAGAGCACTTGTGTTGCATATGTTCTCTGGGTTCCTTCCACAACAATGCAACAAATTAAAAAAAAAATAAAATGCAAAAAGGGATTAAAGTTATACGTATTTGCTACTCAGAGATTTCTAAAAATGTGGAAGCCTAAGAGGGAAAATTAGAACATATCCAGGGACTGAGGATGTAGCTGAGTAGCAAAATGTTTGTTTGCCTAGCACATACAAGGTTCTGGCTTCCATACCTAAAACTAAAAACACAAAAAACCCAAACTAAAAACGTCACCATGCAAAAAGCATAAAAGAATATCTCTTGGGCTGGGATTAGGAATACTGTCTTTTCCAATATTTTTCATCTGAATTTTCATAACACTAAATACATAACATAAATAGAGTATATAACTTTTATTAATAGGCCTGTTTATATAAAAGCACATATAACAAATAATCCTTTGAAGAGAACTCTGGAACCACCCAAAGCTTTTCTTCACTTCCCATAGTCTCTGCCAACCTTAGCCCTTAAGGAACTTTCAGATTTTACTTGGAAGGAAGTAAGGACCATTCTAGTCCCTCTAAAAAATAAAGGAACTCACCTTCTTTAGTCTCAGATTGGTGGCATTATTGCAATATTTATACCAGACTGACTTGAGAATGGACGCAAAGGGTGTGACCCCAATCCCAGCTCCCACTAGCATCACCACCTCATAGCTGAACACGTCTTCACTGGCTGTCCCAAAGGGCCCATCAACTGCAATCCTGGATGGAAATGTGCAAAAGATGATTTCAGAGCTATCTGGCTATTTACAGTAAGATGAAACATCCATTATTACTGGAGATGTGCAATGTGTCAATTCTGACCAGGGCAATGTATCTATGGGGCATTTTCTTCTAGAAGAGGACTTTCAATTAGCCAACCTAATACCAAACTGGGATTGGAAATAAGAGGAATGCTTAGCTAACTGGAAACATTTGATAACTCACCATTGGTATGTTTTCATTTCTTTATCCTTCTTTGCTTCTCTCTCTCTCTCTCTCTCTCTCTCTCTCTCTCTCTCACACACACACACATATCTGTGTGTTTTGCCAGAAAATCCTACACTTGAAATTCTTCATACCTAGCACATTCAATAAGAATTTTCTACAGCATAACACCTTGTAGATTTAATATCCCTTTTCAATTGTTTATTTATGTACCATTCAAGAAACTTTTTTCTTCAGCATTGCTAAGTGCTTAATATTATGTTGACATATGAACAGATACAAAGCAAAATAACATATAACATTCACCCTCAAAAATTATGCTAATTAAAATTTAAGAGTATGTTTGACATACTATGTTTTGTTTGATAGAAGAAGTTAATATGACTTGGCTTTGGCCCTCATATATTTTAAGAAATGTGACTATTCATTACTAATGTTTGATCCAATTATATATTTCATGTACAATTTATAAAAATATATAAATACCACATGCATGCAATGGGGAATACAGTGAAAGCTATGTATATTTATATATTAGAGCCACTGTTTTTTTGTCAGAGAATCAAGAGCTACTACTATGCTGAGAGTATCTTTTTAGTTCAGTTTTTCCTAAAGTTATGCACTTTGTAATGTGTTCTTTATACTCACTTAGGTAGTTTCCAGGCATCTTGAAATTCCTTCTTATCACAGCCACAAGCATTGAACAGCCCCTCTGTCCAGTCCCCAACAATGCGAATATGGATGCTAAAGAAGTCTTCCTCTGGGGCAGAAGTCAGTGTGAAAGGATGCCACTCTAGCTTGGACACGTCAGGGCACTTGACGAAAATATACTGTCCCACCTCCATCTTGAATCCCTTTTTCTTCATCTGTAGCTCAATGGTTTTGAAAGGGTGGGTGACAACCTGTAAAATAAAACATGTCTCTAGAAATGACAGATTCCCCAAATATTTGCTTTTGCAAATGACACTTAAAGAATAAAAGGCAGAGCTAAGTAGACCAGCCAAGGTGTTCATTTCAGGACCAACAAAGAAAGTCCTCCAGATGTGTTTGCCATTGGATTTTCCCTCAGCCATAAGCCATAGCCAGTGATTTGTGATGAAAAGAGACCAAATCTTGGTCATCTGGCTTCAAGTTGTGGGCCTTCCAGGAGCAACTTAAATTCTAGTATTCCTTGTAGGACCAGGTAAGGCTGACACTACAACTAAATTTTGGGTAAGTGTCTTTCTTTTCTTTTGAGACAGTATTTTGCTATATGGCCTAGATTAGCCTGCAACTTAGTATGTAGCCCAGACCAACTTTGGTCTTTTTGTTTGTTTTTTTTTGGGGGGGTCCGGTCGTAGGGCCTGAACTCTGGGCCTGGACGCTGTCCCTCAGCTCTTCACCTCAAGGCTAGCACTCTACCACTTGAGCCACAGCACCACTTCTGGCTTTTTCTGCTTATGTGGTGCTGAGGAATCGAACCCAGGGCCTCATGAATGCAAGGCAAGTACTCTACCACTGAGCCACCTTCCCAGCCCCACCAATTTTGATCTTGTAATTCTTCTGCCTCAGCCTCCTCATTGCTAGAATTACAGGCATGTGCTGCCATGCCCCGTCTTATTTTCTTTACAAGTTCAGTTCATACATTTTATCTGTTCCTGAGAATATGCCCTATGCTCCTTTCACATTCAGTTCTCTGTTACACAGCATTTACAAAGGAATTCAACCTAACTTGTCAGCCTATTGCAATTTTTTTCTCTCAGGACACAAAAAAGTTACAAAAAATAGAAAACAAATGCCATTCAGTTCATCCATCTTCTCTCTCCAGGAGATGAGAGATCTTGGTAGCTAAATAAAAGAAGAAGGAGATCACATTGGCTATTTATATGGCAACAGCCTCTGCACCAAGTTAACTCTGCTATCCATCCTAGTCCTGAATCACATCTCAAACTTGTCCTATTCTTCATACATTGTTTCTATTTGAAAATACTCCACCCATCTCTCCTCAAGTCAAGTAGTAACCACTGTTACCATTCATTCTCATCTACACATGTGTTTATAGCAGCTTTACTCACAATAGCAAAACAGGAAACAATCCAAATGTCCATTAAGTAGTGACCAGGTAAGTATTTAAAAATAGAAAATGAGCCGGGGCGCTGAAGGCTCATGCCTGTAATCCTAGCTGTTCAAGAGACTGAGAACTGAGGATCACAGTTCAAAGCCAGCCTGGGCAGGAAAGACTGTGAGACTGTTATCTCCAATAAACCACCAAAAAACTGGAAGTGGTGCTGTGGCTCAATTGGTAGAGTGCTAGCCTTGAGCTGAGGGACAGCATCCAGGCTCAGAGTTCAAGCCCCACAACTGACAAAAAACAAATACATAAATAAAATAGAGCACAATAACCAGGTTCACATTTGTAATCCTAGCAACTCAAGAGGCTGAGATCTAAGGATTGCTCTTGAAAAACAGTCCTGGCAGAAAAGTCCACTAGACTCTTATCTGCAATTAAGCAACAAAAAAGCCAGAAATGGAACTGTGGTTTGAGTGGTAGAATGCCACCCTTGAGTGACAAAATCAAGTGAGAGTACAAGGCTGAGTTCAATCCCCAGCACCCGCAAACACTAAAAAAGAACACTACAAACAGCAATATAGAAATATACTTTCTATTGTCAAAGGGACACTGGAGCTCCTATAACTTGTAGCTCTACTTATAATAGCCAGGATATGGTGTTAGCTTAAGTGTCCATCAATATATAAATGGTTAAGCAAAAATGGGGTCCATACACATAGTGGAATACTATTCAGCTGTTTTTAAAAAGGGGTAAAATTTTGTCTTCTACAAAAGATGGGTAAACCTGTACAACATTATGTTAAGTGCACTATACCAGGCACAAAAAGACAAATTCAGCATGATTTCACTCATATGTGGAATCTAAGATTTAATCTAATTGAATTTGGGAGTAGAATGGTGGCTACAAGATGCTAAGGAGAGAGGGTAGAAGGATAGTTGAAGAAGACTGATTAATTTGTACTGACTTGTACTTAGATAGGAGTAAGAAGTCCTGATGGTCTGTTGGACCATTAGGAGACTATGGATAATAATAATACATTTCATATTTCAAAACTGCTAGTTATGAGTTTCAGTGTTCTCAGCATCTTGAAATGATAAATGCTCAAGGTGAAGAATATTTCAATTATCTTCACTTGATCATTGCACAAAGTATAATGTAATGAAGCATTTCACTATGTTTTTTGAAGGAGTAGAGAGTTATGGAAGAATGAGAAATCCTTTCAATAAGAATTGGGGGAGTTCATTTTGCATATGCTCATAGCTCTGGAGCCTCTGGGATCCATTTCTATGTGTATCCTCCTTTGGTCTCACTATGTGAATGTCTAGAGAAAAGAAAACCGGATTTTTGTTATTATTGTTGCTGTTGTTGATGATGTTTTTGTTGTCTTCTCCTTTTCTCTTATTTGCTAGTTTGTCTTTGGTAGGGTAACAAGGGCACAGAAAAGGTGGAACAAAGGGCGAACAACTACAGCCCTGTTACTCACTAGACACGATGTGGAAAATGAGCTACACATTAAAAAATTATTGTAAAGATGATGTACAGAGGAGTTACAGTTACATAAGTAAGGTAATGAGTACATTTCTTTGTAAACAGGGTTACTCTCTCCCTCATTTTCTCCCACTCCCTCCCCACCATTCCACTCCCCAAGTTATAAGGTTCATTTCCAACATAGTGTCCAGAGAGTATGGCTGTTGTATTGATTCCCCTTCCTATCCCCAAATCAGATAAATTTATATACATGGGTACAATGACAATGGGGAATAAACCAAAGGGGAAAAAAGAAAGAAAAAAAAGAAACAATTGCAAACAGTACAATTAAAAAAAAAACCTCTTGCTTGTATTTCTTGGGTTTTATGGGTGGGAGTGGGAAAGAAAAAATGGGAGAGAGCAAGGGAAGGGGAGACACTGTTAAAAAAGAAATGTACTCATTACTGGACTCATGTAACTGGAAGCCCTGTGTGTGTGTGTGTGTGTGTGTGTGTGTGTGTGTGTGTGTGTGTGTGTGTGTAGCTGGGATCTAGGTGCTGGTGGTTTATGCATGCAATCGTAGGCTGAGATTCCAGTGGATTGAGGTTCAAAGACAGCCTGGGGGAAAAAGGCAGAACTGGAGGCATGAATCAAGTGGTAAAGAATTAACAGAATGAGGATGAGGCTCTGAGTTCAAGCTCTACTACCAGAAATAAAATTGCTGTCTGGGGATGTAGCATAGTGGTAAATTATGTGTTTAACATGTGTAAACACTGGATTTTACCCCCAGCATCACAAGTCAAACATTTCAAAATTTGTGACTGTATAAATGTGGGATTTTTAAGTATACATTTTTTAATTGTAAAGATACTGTACAAAGGGGTCACAGTTACATGAGTAAGGTAATGAGTACATTTCCTATTGAGCATTGTTACCTCCTTCTTTGTTTTTCTCTACCATCCCTTCCCTCTCCATCTCCCCAACTCCTCCCTCCCCATACTCTGAAGTTGTACAGTTCACTTTCAACATAGTGTTTTATATGAGGAAATTGTTACCAACTTCCCCATGCTTTGAAATAAGGAGTTGGAAAGCATCATTTTGAAAGTATTTTGAAAATTGTTTATCATGTTGCAATTTTGTGTGATGAAAATAATTTTCTCTCACATTGCAATTCTATTACCACAGGCACAAAGAAGATTTAACTTAATAGGATGCACTAGTAGACAGCATTTTCCCTGGAAATTTTTTTGATAAAATCTTGTTTCTTATGTTTGTATGAGAGGAAAGTTATCTCTTTATCATAAGGAAACATGTTTACCATAATTATATATATATATATTGTGTGTATGTATTTCAGAGAAATATTTGTCTAGTTTAGCCACCTCTTTTCTATTAAGGGGAATTTTGTGGCACCCCATTTTACTGATCTATGGGTTTTTTTCTTATAATACAAGATAACATACATAAAAAGGGAACTTTTGTGACTTCCTGTGTTGCATAACTGCCAATGTCAGCAGGACAAGTTTTACCATGACCATTATAGATATCAAAAAAAAGCTAGAAATGACTACTTTCTACCTCCATTTTTGTGTTTTGAAAAAGTAACCCATAGAAGATTTTTGGTAAATAATTTTTCAATTGAGTTATATTAAATTTCATTTGAAAAAAAATAGTCTTATCTGGTGTTTCCTGATATTCTAACGAAGTTCATATATATGAGTTTATATTTATATATATGAATATATATGAGTTCATATATATGTATGGATGGATATCCACCTATTTGTTTTATGATGGATAAAACCATAGAAAAGAGAAGAAATGCCTCTTGAGACTTGGAGATAGGAGACCACATTGAAGATGCAGCTTAGTTACTACCTTGCTTGACACTTCAGGCATTTCAGTTCTGATATTCTATGATTCTGTTTTTTCTTGGGTCCAGTCGTGGGGCCTGAACTCTGGGCCTGGGAGCTGTCCCTCAGCTCTTCAGCTCAAGGCTAGCGCTCTACCACTTGAGCCACAGCACCACTTCTGGCTTTTTTCTTTTTGCTTATGTGGTGCTGAGGAATCGAACCCAGGGCCTCAGGCATGCAAGGCAAGTGCTCTACCACTGAGCCACCTTCCCAGCCCCTATTCTATGATTCTAAAGGACAGAAATGATGGCATAGAAAAGTCTTTCATTTTAGTGACATTTACTCTTGATTAGTTGGACCTTTTGGCATCTGAAAACTTTGTCTCTCTTGTTTTCCTTCTTGACTCATGACTAAATGGCTTAATGCATCTTTGCTCTTCTCCTTTATACTCTCTCTCTCTCTCACACACACACACACACACACACACACAGAGGGAGAGAGAGAGAGAGATGTGGGAATGAAGAGAAAGATACTGGCCTCATTTTAATAGAGGAAGTGGTACCTTCTACCTTTTATACTTGGCTTAGCCAAGAGGCCAAGAAGATAGAAAGTGGAGCATGTTGTACTCACACTATTGCTGTGGGCTGGTGGCTCACACCTATAATCTTATCCACTTAGGAATCTGAAATCAAATTTGAAAGACAACCCAGGCAGACTAAATGTAGAGAATTTTATCTTGAATTAACTGACATAAACTGGAATGGATATATGGTTTAAATAGTAGAGCACCAGTTGTGAGCAAAAAAGCCAAGTAAAAGTAAAAGGCCCCCAATTCAAATACCCCACTATTTATTTGTAAACTAAGTACAGTGAAGTAATCTTACTTCTTCTACCTGCTTTAAGCTTATTGAAAGAAACTCAATACAAATCAGGGAACTTAGGGAGAGTTCCTGCTATGCTTACACACAGATTACTAGTAACCACTAAACCAACCAATACCTTGGTGATGACCACCTTCTGTTGAGATCGCCAGAACCGTACCAACCTCTCACAGAAATACAGGAACATGGGGCCCACTATCCATTTCCAAGTCTGTAATCAAAGCAAAACTACAATGAGATGTATTAAGGATAGTAGGTAATAAAATATTCAGGAAAAAATTTTTACAAGTCAGATGCATCTTTGTAGGTTTTTTTTTTTTTGCTGGGGGGGATGGGGGGAATCAGTCGCGGGGCCTGAACTCTGGGCCTGGGTGCTGTGTCCCTCAGCTCTTCAGCTCAAGGCTAGTGCTCTACCATTTGAGCCACAAGGCTAGTGCTCTACCATGTGAGTCACAACACCACTTCCAGCTTTTTTCTGCTTATGTGGTGCTGAGGAATCGAACCCAGGGCCTCATGCATACAAGGCAAACACTCTACCACTGAGCCACCTTCCCAGCCCCCTTTGTAGGTTTTTAAAAAATATTTGACACTGGCTGGGCACAGGTGGCTCATGCCTGTACTCCTAGCTACTCAGGAGGCTGAGGTCTGAGGATGTCAGTTTGGAGCCAGCATTGGCAGGAAAGTCTGTAAGACTAATCTTCATCCAATTAAACACCAAAAAAGCAAGAAGAAGAGCTATATCTCAAGTGTTAGAGAGCTAGCCTTCACCCAAAGAAGCTCAGAGATAGTGCTCAGGCCCCAAGTTTAAGCCCCAGGACCCAGCACCCCCTCACACACAAATTTGACACTAGAGAAGTAGATTTCTTGTAAAACAATGTATAAAAAAGCTAAAGTTATGACAAATTGTTGAGCTAGTAAAAATAAGTTTTCTCCTTAGCCTCATTGGGGAACTGTATCTGAAGTATGAAAGTTTCCAAAGAGGAACTGCCTACAAGAATAAGATTTTCTCTCAGTGTCATAACCGCAATTGCAACACCCTACAATAGACTGTGGCTGGTTTCAGAATTAATGTCTCTAAAGGATACCATTTCAGCGACATGGTGTTTTTAATGCAACACTGTTATTGCTTTCTCTTACCTATGGAGTCAGATGAATCTTTTGAAAGATCACACATTTTGTGTAAGAGTTTAGCTGTTTCTCCAGTATTCTGGTAAAGTTGTAAAGCTATGCAATGCTCTTGCCAAAAGAACAGATAGAAAGCTTTTTAGACTTCTGGAGCTAACCATCTGGTTAGAATACACAGTGCTTCAGAACACTGGCATTGTGTCTGTGTAAAAACACATTTAGACAGATTCACCCTGAGACTTGGCTAGTGGAGTTCCTAGTTTAATATCCAAAGCATTAAAACATGTTTAGAAGGCAACATTATCTAAAAGATGATTTTTCCCTAATGGATTCTAAAAAGGAAAGAAATCAGGCAATGCTTACCATAGTTTCACAAATGATCTTTCTAGTGAATTATATATTTGAGAAACATTTTGTTGGAAGTTAAGACCACTTGAATATCCACATTTCCATCCAAAGTAGAATAATACTGACACCAGACATCAGAAATGTTCTATTGCTGTATATCATGTTCATAGGAAGGTATTTCAAATAGTCTCATATCACCCATCTCTTTCCTGGGTGCCACTCTGAGGTACTATTAAAGGAGCCAGATTTGGCGACTGCCCCTAATAGTTCCAGAAATTGTGCAGCTCTTTTGAGGTAGATCCCTATAAAGGTATTTGAATTCTAATAATGCCATCTGTCATTGACGGAATGGGCTTTCCCTATCCTAGAAAAGGACCAACAAGATGGTTCCCTTTTCAGTTTTTTCTACTGACATTTTCATGTAGTGGAGACAGTCCAATGACATGCCTAATGCTTTCATTAATGAATAAACCTAGGTCTCAAAGATGGATCTTCATATCCTGATATATCTAGAAGAGTCCTCTCACACCAAGAAAGTAGGAAGATAGAAAGGAATAAATGAATGATGAATTTGCCTTTAAAAAAATAATATACCATATTATACTGAAGAAAGCATAATCCTATTCAGAATCTCCATACAAATGTTGGCATTTTATTTAGTTTTACATCTACAGTTAGGACAATAACCAATAAAGTATACTTTATGCCAACAGAGAAAGAGATAGGAAGATTACAGGTCCTACTTCTCACTTTTTTAGAGAAACCATATTGAGGATAAACAAAACGGAGCCTTTTACAACTCCATGTAGGAGAGTTTCACTATCTTTCCCCTTCCTTACTTTTGTCAAATTCCTGCACCATCACAAGGTGTTACAAGTCTGGTGGTGTGAACATGGCTGTCCGGCTTCCTTCATGCCTAATAGACTGGATTTTCTGATGCCAGCAAAGAGTACATTTCCCTGATTTTCCTTCTAATTCTTGAGCCATATAGAAAGATGCTCCTCATAGTGATTCGAGCTATTCACCTCAGTATAGGATGGAATAACAAAGTGTCCCTTTGGAAATTTACTAGTTTTACTGTGGCCTTTGCATTCAGAAGAAAAAATGATGGAATCTCTTGAATCAAACACTGATTTACCAGGTTTTATGTCAGGACATTGACCAGTGCAAAGTTTATATTGCAAGAAACAATTCTAGACATTAAATAGAGAAAATCAGACACAACATCCTCGAAATTCCATGACATTTGTAACAGACAACTCTAGGATATAGGTACATGCTTTACAAACACATTTGAAAGATTGCCAGTAATAAAACTATAGTAGTAATGATAATTTATACGTACCATAGGAGGATTCCCAGAGAACTTTGGTATTGGACAGTCCTTTATTTTTCCCCACTGGGAGATACTTTGATTACATTGTACTAGTTTGTGCTCATTCAAACTTTCTACAGTCTGCCCACGTACAATTCGTCTGAGAAAAAAAAAGTTAAGTTCAGATAACTTTTGGATTCTTAAAATTTTTTGTAGTACTTGAAATGGAACCCAGGTCCTACGTGTGCTAGGTTAGTACCTGACTACCAAGCTACATCCTCAGCCCTGACTCTGGACATACTTTAAAAACCTTAATGTGTGTCCTATACTTTTCACTAAAAGGACTATCTTATATTATCTCTGAACAAATTAGAGGAAGGGAAAGAAAATACATGATCTTGTATAGTAGGAAAAATTGTGTAATGGCATGAAGAATATATTATTATAGAGGTTAAGTCTATTTTTAAAATTTTATTGTCAGGGTTATGTAGCGGTTAAGTCTTAGATCATCCATACAATACATATGTTTTCTTAAAGGGAAACCATGTCTCAGCTATTTTGATTTATAAACAAACACAAGAAACCAGATAAAATGCAAACGTAACATGCTGAATGCTAGTCCATGCTGTGCCTTTGTGCAAACTAGATAAAAGTTTGTCTTCTATGAGGACAACGTTCTAGGTAAAGGGTGTAACTAGCAGTAGGATAACCCATACAGTCATCAACAGTGGCCTTGAGAATTAAAATTGAATTAAAATTAGAATTGAATAAAAATTAGAATAAAAATTGTCTAGAGTGGGAGTCATGGTACACACACATAATCCTACACTCAGAATGCTGAAGGAGGAAGATTATTTAATTTGAGGCCAGACTGGGCTACATAATGGATTTGAGGAATACCTGTGCTACACAGTGAGACCTTGTCTAAAAAATGAAATAGTAAAGAAAATGAAACTATCTAAATTAACCTAAGAGGTTGAATTGTGTTTGAGAAGACTTAATCCTATGGGGATCATGCCATCATTACAGGCACTAGTGCCAACAGTATGTTCAGCTATTATTCACTTAAGCTCAGTAAATACTAATGGAGCAACCATGAAAAGATAGTTCTGGATTAGTGAGGATGAGAAGATGGAGACACCAAGTTAAATAAGTCATGTCCTTGACTTCAAGGAAAATAAACATACTCTTCAAAATATACGAAAAAAAAGCCCAAGAAACCAAGCCAGTTCCAGTGGTTCATATCTGTAATCGTAGCTACTCAAGAGGCTAAGATCTGAGAATCATGGTTCAAAGCCAACCTGGGCAGGAAAGTCCCTGAGACTCTCATCTCCAATTAACCAGCAAAATGCTTGGAACTGGAGCTGTGGCTCAAGTGGTAGAGTGCTAGTCTTGAACACAAATGCTCAGGGACAGCACCCTGGCCCAGAGTTCAAGCTACAGGACTAGAAAAAGTCCTTTTTAAAATTTGTCTTAAAGAGAGACCTAAAATGTATCATTCCATATAGTCTATTCTGAGGATGTTTTAATTCAAATTGATTAACCCCCTCTTTTTGTTCCCAGGAAAGAATCACCATACATGCAGCAATTACTATGGATAGACATGGAAAAGTGTTGTTCACCAATTATCTTAGTAATGATCATAACAAGCTTGAGATGCAAGTATTATCATTCTCATTTTACATGAGGGTAATAACTCAAGCCAGGTAGCATTGGGTTCAAATCTCAGATCAAACCCTTGGAAAAAATATGAAGTAAAATAATTTAGCTATAAAATAGGTATAATAAAACCTCATTAAAGTACTTCATAAAATAATGCCTCATCATACCAATTGATATGATGTATAAAAATGTCAGCTATAAACTGGGCACTAGTGGCTCAGGCCGTAATCCTAGCTACTCAGAAAGCTGGGATCTGAGGATTGCAATTTGAAGCTAGCCCTGGCAGGAAAGTCCATGACTTTATCTCTAATAAACTACCAAAAAGTTTGAAGTAGAACTGTGGCTCAAATTCTAGAGTGCTAGGATAGCACCCAGGCCCTGAGTTCAAGCCCCAGAACCAGCACAATACTAGTATCCACTATAAATCAAGGGTCAAAACAATGATAGCTATTAAAGTTCTTGATTCTGATGCTCACATAGGGAATAAATGATAGAAAAAATCCAATTTTGTATTTCTCAAGTTTAGTACCAGAAATCTGGAAACCTGAATTTTAATTCTAGTTCAACTGTTACACCGTCGACTGGGAACAATACCTAACCAGTATAAGTAACAGATGCTCCTCCAATGGACAGCAGAGTAAAGAAATCTCTGTCTGCTCCAAAGGAAGATGGATATCTGTGACACTATCCAAATAGACAGTGTTTAGAACTGCTAAATTAGAGAGGGGAAGGAATTCTTTGTGTTCCCTAGAATTCATTGAAAGAGCATGTTTATGATGAAGCTCCGTTTAAAGATATTCAATTACTTTAGGAGAGTCAAGAGATTTTTCTACCCTGTTGATTTCTTAGCACTTAGAAAGAGTTTATCAGGTGTCAAAGTCAGGAAATACATGAGAACATATGCAGAAGTTACCAAAGCTGTTCTCCTTACCCTTCCCCTTTTTATTCTCGACTTGACTACACTAGCCTAATCAGCTTGGTTCTGAGAAGAGTGTTTGAGTTTTGAATATCTACTTTCCCAACCCTTAGTTTCCTGGAAATCTGTACCTACCAGGGAACTTTCCTGGGCCTGCAGGTGGTAGGAAACAGTAGAAAAAGGAAATCAAGTATTAAAGCTGATTCCTTCCAAGTGCACGTGAAGGCTCTGTGTATTTCCGTGAGAACATTCATGTAATTTGTTTTAGACCATCTGTACTCTGGGTCACTCTTCAGCTGCGAGGGGCCTAGTCTACATATTTTCACCATTTTTATTTTTAACTCACTAGGAATAGTAAGAGTATTTATACAGTTCAGAGATTAAAAGAAACATTTAACATCAAACTCTAAATATAGACCTTGAGGCAGAACAGTGCTCAACAGATGTTAGCTGCTACTTTAGTTGTATGTTTCAAAGCAATATCCGTGTATTTTTCTTGCTAACATTTCCCACAGTGCCCAAGGTAGGTCTTGATACACAGTAGGCATCCAATAAATAACTGGTCGTTTCAGTCAAAACCAGCTGAACCACAGAAAACCTCAATTGATTAACCATTAACTCTTCTTGTTTGGGAGTTCATCCAATTCACTAAGTGATTAGGTCACAGGAGGCAAGTTTGTAGACATGCAAGATCCTACCAGTGTTCTATACTTGCAGAGATAATCAGACTATGATGTATTTTCCTCGGAGTGATTGCTATCAATAACTACATTGCAAGCAGTAGTTAGTTGGGTAGAGGAAACTGTAACAGTTGTTTAACAGTTGCTTTTGCTGAGAAACACTGACTTCTTATTTGGGCTCATAAATTAACTAAAAGCAGGATAAAAGCGACGCCATCTTGGAATCCAGAAAGAAGTGGAAAGCTTACCGGGCATCTTACTATAATAAGGCTCTCTGGACCAATCCTGAGAAAATGTGCTACCAAAATCACTTGTGACTGTCACCAGTCACTCATAGCCATCAAAACATTTCTGTGACTGAGACTATGTAACAATTACATATGCCTTTTACCCTATCTCCAATTCTTCCTCATATTTAAAGCTAAAGAAAATGTCTGTTCCAGGAAAAGTACAGAGGTTGGATTGAAATGTTACTTTTTCTCTCTTCAAGGAAAGTGGCCAGACCTGACCAGGGAATTTTGTCCTGGATCCTAAAATCTCCTGCAACAAAATTTACAGTGTTGCTGACTGGTGTCCACTCAAGTGATCTCTGCTGTTCTTTTACATCCCCTCAGTAGACAGGTTGACCACATATAAGTAAGAAAGTCACTGTGCTTCTTCTAGGGCAACACACATAAAGTCCTTGGCTATGGGACTAAAAACTCACTCAGCTCCATGGATGGCAAGACCAATGAAGAAGATCACAAAGAGGTGGTGTGTGTACCAAAACACTTCAAAGTAAGACCTCCGAATGGTTTTGGTGGAAGAGGTAATAATTAATATGAGACACAATGTGATCACAATTCCAGTGATTCCTGCCAACCGAGTCACAGCCACATATAGGCCCCCTTCAGGGTTCTGTAAAATAGAAAAAAAACACATGCACACATTATCATAGGTTCTCAAATGCAGATATTTATGAAAGTATTTAAACTTAGACTCATGTCCCCTTAGGAGTAGTCCTACTCATTCCTCATGGAGAGATATAGACTTGGAGTAACTATTTCTTAATTTGAAAGTTTACACAGTTGAGGAGTCATAGAAAATACAAATTTGTACGTAAAAAATGATGAACGATGTCCTAAAAGTGTTGAAAACGCTTTCTCTCTTTAGTTTCAGAAAGGGCAACAGTGATTGCTTTCCAAGTGTATTCTGGAAATTCCTGCCACCTGAGGCTGGGTTCACCAGGAGTGGATCCTGGGATGAGAATTCATAGACCAGTGATTTAGAGAATGTTCTCTGAGAGAAACTAGTAAGCAAATGAGGAATACAACAAAAGAAAAGGGAAAAAGCCAAGCAAGAGCATGAGCTCAAAGTCTCGCAGCACATAGCTTTGGCATGACCCTGCAGGGGAACTCTGGAAGATAAGATATACCTCAGAGTTTATCCCAACTGGAAGCAAAGAAGATGATAATTAAAGGCCTACACTCATCACTTATTGGATAAAGGATGCCAAGGGAGAGGTTACTGTCTAGACCCTTCCAATTTCCAGCAAGGTCAGTCCTTGGAAAAGCAAAGAGGCACATGTAACCAAGGAATAAAAGCATTCTGGGAGATCTCAGATAAAATAAAAATGACCCCCCAAATCTGGGCAAAGTATGATAGTGTCAGCTCAGCTAGTATGTTCATATTGCCTCCCTTATACATCACTGAGCCAACAATGAACAATGTAAAGAAAACTTACCCAAGAAATGATAGAATAAAACAATTAGTTTGGTAGTACTTAATTCTGTCCCTAAGGAGATACTGCAAAGTTTCTGCCTGTCAGTTCAAGGATAACAGAAATATTAAGAATGTTCTCGGGGGCTGGGAAGGTGGCTCAGTGGTAGAGTGCTTGACTTGCATGCCTAAGGACCTGGGTTCGATTCCTCAACACCACATAAGCAAAAAGAAAAAAACCGGAAGTGGCGCTGTGGCTCAAGTGGTAGAGCGCTAGCCTTGAGCTGAAGAGCTGAGGGACAGCACCCAGGCCCAGAGTTCAGGACCCACGACCGGACCCCTCTCCCCCAAAGAAAAGAATGTTCTCGTGATTTTTTCCTAAATATAAGGAATATGTGATTGAAATTTAATGGATAGTCATGTGATTTAGCCTCTACCATTGGGCATATGAAAATAGCCGGGAGTACGAAGCTTCAACAATGTATGAGATGAAAGAAGTCCTTGACTCTGAACATTCTTATGTCTGCCCCTGAAAAGCTGCCAAGTTACTTTCAGTGCACCAAAGGATAACAATTAGCAGCTAAGAGCCACTCCCAGCTGTTGTAGGCAAGGAAGAACACAAGCATCACTGACAACTGTCAGCTGATTGTTGATCTGACACTAACAACTAGGCCAAGCGCTCCCTAATTTACACAAGTCACTTCATATAACATCAACATCAAACAAGGTTACTTTGTAACTGATGAAGTGAGATGCTTTGAAATTGTGTTTGAGCCCACACAAAACATAAGTCATGCTACTTGTATACCTATTATATATTTAAACACCTTGGGTTCTTTCTGCCTCTTGGGAGAAAAAAATAAGATAGTGATCTCAGAACCATCCTTCATTCCTGACCATCCCCAATTCAAAGCAAACCCTTGTTTTTGTTTTTGTTTTGTTTTTGTCAGTCATGGGGCTTGACCTCTAGGCGCTGTCCTTCAGTTCTTCAGCTCAAGGCTACTGCTTTACCACTTGAGCCACAGTACCACTTCTGGTTTTCTGGTGGTTTATTGGCAATAAGAGTCTCACAGACGTTCCCACCCAGGCTGGCTTTGAGCTGAGATTCTCAGATCTCAGCCTCCTGAGTAGCTAGGATTACAGGCATGAACCACCAGTGCCTGGCAACCTTTGCTTTTAAAAACCATCCTCAATACCATCTAACACAAGTTTTAATTCCGATCATGGATCTCTTCTAACAATTCCCTGAGATTTCTTTATGGCATGGAATTCCTGTGGCAAGTGGCAAACCCAATTTGTTTGATTAGCTATGCCTTCCTTGCTTTATTCAACTCATGGCAAACTCATTGGTGAGCCTGAGTTACCTTAGTTGCCATGTATACACATTTTCAAAGGATCTGGAAAACAGTTGGACAGCCTCTACACATGGGATCAGATGTGTGGGAGACATTTTCTCTGTACTCACATTCTTTTTTTGGGGGGGGCGGGGGGTCTGGTCATGGGGCCTGAACTCTGGGCCTGAGCACTGTCCCTCAGCTCTTCAGCTCAAGGCTAGCACTCTACCACTTGAGCCACAGCGCCACTTCCGG